CGGCGTGGAAGTGGGGGGGGGGGGGGGAAAGAAAAGATCGTTGTGTTGGTGGAAGCGTGTCGTGTCAAGGTGGCGGAGAGGAGAAGGTCAAACGTGAGGAAATGTCCACAGCCACTGTCAGTTTTGGGTTTATTTCAGTCCGTCAGTCACTCTAGTCGTCCTCTTCCTCATCTCCAATCATCCCTCCATCCTCCACGAGCGATTCCTCTGCTTCGCTTCTGTTCTCCTTTGCAGCTGCGCTCTCCTCAGCCAAGTCACTCTCTCCCCCTTGCGCCTCCTCGTCCTCATTCTCCTCGTCCGCTACTTTGGGCCCTTCCGCCTTGCCGTCTCTTGAAGGCTTCGCCGCCGCGCCATTGGCCCCCAGCGCTCCCGCGGCGCTCTGAAGCTCAGCCAGGGTGGAGGCGGTGGGGAAGCCGGGCAGGCCCAGACCCCCGAGCCCTGGAGGTAAGAACATGGAGGGATAGAGAAGGCCGGGGGCCATGGTGGACAGGAGGAAAGGATTAAATGCCAGAGAATTGGCTGACATGCCGGCGGCGGCCAGCAGGGCGGCGGCTTCGCCGTTGATGGAGGAGTCGGGCGGAGAAGCCGTCGCTGGCGTTTGGGCTGCTGCGCTCCGACCGCTTTGGGATTTTTCCATCTTCTCTCCACCTTCTTCGTCCTCCTTGTCAATTCTCACCTTCTTGGCAAGATGGCCACCTTCATCACCATCAGCTTCCTCCTCAGGCTCATTTTCTCCCCCGTCATCACCATCGGCCCCATCTTCTTCCTTTCTCTTCCGGCTCCCTTCCTCGCCGTCGCCATCCGCCGTGCCGTTGGCGTTCGTCGATGCAGCGGCCCCTGCCGGGTTGGAAGCGACGGCGGCGGCCGCCACGTTGCCACCAAACAGCCCGCCCAGGCCGAACATGTTTGGGATAGCTGCGGCCATGTTGGGCAAGCCCCCCATGCCGGGCAGCATGAGGGGTAGCATGGAGGCGGCGGCGGCACTGGCAGCGGCCTGCTTGGGGTCAGCGGCGGTGGGGAAAGCCATAAGGCCGGCGGCCAACTGGAGAGACTGAAGGCTCTGCAGGGAGGACAGATCCATCCCTCCGAAGAGGCTGTTCAGCAGCAGTGGGTTGATGCCTCCTATAAAACACACAGTCACGTCATCACATCACTTGCAAAAAGCGAAGAAGTAGAAGAAGCGAGGGTGCTTCACGCTCCAAGTGAAATCGATGCTCTCTTACCAGCCGACGAAGCGGCGGTGGCCAGCGAGGCCTGGGCGGCCTGCGCAGCCGCCGCCGCCTGGGCAGCAGCGGCCGCTTTGGCGATCTCAGATTTGGGACGTCGTCCCCGACGACGGACACCCTCTTCTCGAACGACCGGACCCGTCAGCAGCCGGTCAAACATGGCCTCCGGGAGAAAACCCTGCCCAATAAATAAATAAATATTAACAATGACACTATTAAGATCATAAAATGGTATCTTGACTTCCGTGACAAAGCTTGTCAAGTCAAGTCACATTTATTTCTACAGCCCTTAATCATAAACGGTCTCCAAGGGCATCATCACATGCCCACAGTGGACAAGTATTCACAATATCCCCTGACCAGGGGTGCCAAGGGAAAACTCCCCAAAAACCCATCTGGGGAAAAATGAGAAACCTTGAGAAGGGGCCGCAGATGGGAGAATCCCCCCTTCTGGGATGACCAGGCTAAAATGGATGCCGAGTGGGCAACATTTGAAGCTCGTAACTCAATTTACTTGAATTCAAATGTTTATTGGTCTGTCCCAGCCCATCCGGAAGCACACCTTTTTGGTTACACGAGTAACTTCTACAGTGGGTGAAGATAGAAATTTTCAATCGCTGATAAATATAACTAGTTGATGTTTTGTGAATGAGACTTAAAACAAAAACAACTAAATATTATTTGTAAAATAGATCTTTAAAAAAAACAAGCTTCTGTCCCAGACACCCCCTGACATAAGTCCTATTGGATCAACCAAATAGCAGCTTTAAAAAAAAAAAAAAAATCCAATAGTAGTAAGGCACATCCCTTGAAATACTTTTGCAATATTTGAAAATCAAGGGGACAACTGGAGCAGATTTGTTGGTTACTGTTGTTAAGGAAGAAGACAGGCAACTAACCGACTGTTTGACAATATCTGTCCAATCGGGTGCAATTGAAAATTCAGGGTTTTCCAACAGCCATCTGGGAAGTTCCTTCATTGGGGGAGCCATGGCACCACCCATCTAGAAGAAAGGAAGACTGTTAGTTCCATTCAGGGAATGAAACAACAACAACAAGAAAACAAAACACGGACTGAAGACTCGAGTTGTTACCTTGCGGCCATTCCGCCGGTTGATTACAGGCACTCTCTCGTCTCCCGTCAGGGTGTTGATGTCGATCTTGTTGGGGTTTCGACAGCGATGGCGCTTTTGCTTGGGTTTTGAGAACTGAGACAACAGTAACTCTTCGTTCTTCTAGCGTAGTAATGGGGGAAAAAAAAGCATGGTTGAGGAAAAAAAAAAAAAAGAGCCACACAACATTGATGAAAACAACACTAGGACGTACTGGTGTAAATCCAGAAATGTCCATGGTGTAGGTAGGGTGCTGCCTCAGCCACTCCCCGAGCTCTTTGTTGGAAACAGTCGTCTCTTCCTCCTCCATACTACCAGACGCAAGAGATCTTCCACTGGGGCTCTGCTCTGAGACCGCAATGGGTCTGTGGGCACGGGCAGCATCCTGCCCCGCTTCCATACCGGACACCTTGGTCCCATCACCATCGTCCTGAGAATGAAAGAGAATGTCACTTTATTTTGTGTCTACAGTTGCAACAGCCAACACAACCCCCCCCCCCCTGGAAAAAAAAACAAAACAAAAAACAAAAACACACCACTCCAGCTCTTTTGTTGCCCATAAACAGCAGCTCCATGCCCTCGACGTTTTTCCTGCGTCCCCGCCTCCGCCTCATCATTGGCAAGTCAGCTTCCAGCGAACCGTTGGCTCTGTGGCCAGAGGGCGGGGCTTGCTGCAGCAGCTCCATTTGGGCCTTTAGCGATGGGTTTGTCACCAGCGCACTGGGGAAGCCAGCCAACGAAGGAGAGCTCTTGCGTTGATGATGGATATCCTGGGCGGCAAAAGCAAGCGAGTTGAATTCATGCCGTTCCCCCGCTCTCCTGCATTGTAAAATCTCCAGCAGGAAGAGCTTCTCATAAGGGGAGCGCACCTTGGTGAGATCAATAGCCTGACTCTGGGACTCCAGGGTTGCGTGGTTCTCTCTCAACTGAGCAACCATCTCCATCAGGTTACGCCTCTTGGCCGCTCTCTCGGCCTCAATCTCGATCTTCCTCCTCCTCCTCCTCCTCTGTCGAGGCACCGTTAGACCCAGAGGATCGTCCTGCAACACAAAAGTCAACTCTTAGAGCTGATAACCAAGCGGGTACAGCCCTTTCTGTCTCAAGTTCAACTTCAAGACCGCTACAGTTCTGTATTGGTGATAAAAATACCCATTTTCAAAAAACAGACACGAGGGTTACTTATATCGGCAGTTATCAGTGAAGAACTCACGAGAACGTGTGATGAAAGCGCTTTATCCTCCATCCTGCTGTAAGGGCTGTGGATCCCGGTCAGTGTCAGCTCGCCCACACTTCGTCTCTGCAGCGGGCTCTCGGTTGCTGTGACGACTGCAGCTGCGGGTATTGTGGAGCCATGACCTGGCAACAGGTTGCTCGGAAAGTCAAAGATGTGGCGTCGGTTGACGGGCCACTTGCCCTTCAGGACGGCCTCGCAGATGTTGTCCATCCTATTAATCATCACTCGATCCTGGAATATGGAAAAAAGAGGAGTAAGATGATGGCATCAAGCAAGAAAGGTTCCAATGATCCGTCTTAATTTGCGGATCTATGCAACGGATTATTTGCACTTGCCCACCGTGTGTGTGTGTGTGTGTGTGTGTGTGTGTGTGTGTGTATTTTATAAATAGCACAGGTGTAAATACCGTAAAAAGAAAGATCACCCTCAGCATTTTGGGTCATACCACCACACACATTCTCAATGCATCTTGGGGCTAAAATGAGAGTTATCTACTGACCAACAAAGAGTTCAGTGAAGTGAGTCTGATGAATTTCACACGACTAACCTTCGGCCAGACTGTGAAGGCATACGTTCTGTCCTGTAAGGCGTGTAAGGCATAAGTTTCCGCCATGTCATCAGGGCAAAAACCATCTCTGGTTTCATCTCGAGCTGATGTGCTCAAAGATGCGATGCTCTCCTCGTCAAAGTTCTTCTGCTCAGATACGGCACCCGCTAAGAAAAGGCAGGGAAAGTCACATTTCAAGCTGAATTAAAACGGGCTTCACAATTGCCATCCGGGGATACAAGGTCTTTTTATTATCTTGCCCCTGGTACTCAGGACCCATTTAAACTCTGTCAAGTCTTGAGGGGAAACCAGAAATAGGTCCGTTCTGACCAAGTGATGTCAAATGATAGGGGGGGGCAGGCAAACAGAGAAAAAAAAAATCAAAATATACACTGTAGTTAACACCAAGTAGAACATTTTAAAGCTAAATATTAGAATAAGAAGCAAAACAGGGATATTCTTTGTACATATGGGCTGCCAGAACAAAGTGAAATTCAAATAAATCAGCCTTTTTTGATCAAGTGCCCATTCCTCCACAACTTGGGGCCACTGAAACTCGCATCGCCAACACCTCGGCACCGTATTTGAAGGGAGAGGAAGTGAGGTTTCCGTACAAAGGTGACCTGCTTCAATTGTTTTAAATGCGGACGGGAGACCGATGGGGTCCGCAGCCTGTCGCGTACACTCACACAAACTATAGAATGATGACAGCCAAATTTTTTTTTTCTCTCTTTCCACCCTTTGTAAATCAACTTAGGAGCTGTGTACCAGCCAACTGCAATAAACTGGTCGGGTACTCCAGCAACAAATCAAAACTGTGTTTAAAAAAAACAAAACATCTATAGTATGTCAGAATTGCACTTTACTATTGTGCAAACAAGTCAATTCCCCCACCTTCAGCCTGGGATGATTTCTCCGATTTGTCGTCTTCATCCATCCTTTCCTCCTCTTCGGGGCTTTTCTCTGGGTCAGGTGACTTTGGAGATTTTGGAGACTTGCCGTCCTCCCTCTGCACTCGGTCCTCCTCCTCCGCAGCATTGCGGCTGGTTTGTGCTTCAAGCTCTTCTGGGTCCTTCGATATCATTTGGTCCCCGGCAGTGTCAACACGAGCCACAGTTTCTTGTTCGGTCTGCTTGGAAATATTCTCCGTGTTCTCTTCTATCGGTCCGCTCGTCTCCTTTTCTGCTACCGGTCGAGCTTCGTCGACATGTGGCAGCGGTGAGGCTGTGGCCTCTTTCTCATCTTTAACCTCTACCTCCTCGATTTTCTCAGGAGATGAAGTGTTTACACATGTGACAGCGCTGGCCTCCTCTTCCTCAGGCTCCATTCTAGCCTCAGTCTGAACATCATCTTCCTCCGTTTTCACCTGCGTTCTCTCTCCCTCCGCTTCAGCACCATGAGCGGCTATTTCGGCAGAAACGGCGACACTCGCGAGCTCCGCAGGCGTGAGAAGAGCTGAGGGGCTGCTCTCGGCTGTTCCCGTGCCACTTTTGCAGAGTTCTCCCATGCCGAGGAGAGTCCCGCGCTGGGTGGTTAGGCGCCGGTGCGCCTCCAGGAAGGCCAAGGTTGGATCGTTTTGGATGTGATAATCTGTTCGACTGACACCATGCTTCGAGGCTCCAAGGAGAAGGTCCCTGTCATGGCGGCCACACTCCCACCAATCTGGGAGGTCTTGGGAGGGCTGGCAGAGTTTAAGCCGCTCAGAGAGCAGCGGATGGGGGAGAACCTGCTCTCTGATGCGCCGCAGCAATTCAATGCGATACAGAGTGCGGGAAGCACGCTCCTCCGTGATGGGGTCGATGATCAGCGTTGGGTCGGGGAGTTCTGCGGAGGCAGAAAGACACATTCATGTGCTGACAACAAGTGAGAGGTGGGAATGTCAAAGCCGGGGCCGTGTGACAATGCCCAACCATTTTTCGAGGGAGGTCCAGAAGACACAGTAAATGTTGCTGCATGCGCCGCATGAAGCTGCGGATGCGCGCGCTATTTCCTCACCTGTGTCAGTTTTGACCTGCATGCGACAGACACGTTTGCACATTGCGATGAAGGAATAGTAATATTTCTCCAGGCTATCGTCTGTCTTTTTGTCCAGTCGGGCAAAAGCTCTGAATTGTGTCCAGTCAAATTTCTGACATTGCGTGTCAAAGACGACTCCAAACGTGGACACAACACGGTAAAAGTCAGCCTCCTCGCGACGAGTCCATCTAAAGGCAAAACAAACACACACAAAAATGATATGCTTCAGAAAACGTTTCACTACTTACAGTATAGAAGGATGAAATAACAGCAAAACTACAGTCCAATGACAGAGGCTGTTACAGAGTTACTTTCATGGCGACCCGATTCAAAGTAATCTGAAAATGTGTTTCACCTTTGTCTCCTTTCCTTATAGTACACGGCTCCATCCGTCATCAGGGCGCTTGTGGTCATCACTGGCGACTCATCGGTTATATATTGCCCACTTTTCGCAAAATAAGCACTTCCTTTAGTGAGGTAGGAGGTTCCCTCAGCCATGAACACTGTTGCTGGATCTTGGATATAGGCTCCTCCTCCTACTCCTCCTCCCCCCGCTGCCTCTGTCACCATTGCAATGGTAGGTAGGAAGTCCCGCCGCCGTCTTCGGCGCCCATCGGGCCTGTTGAGGGCCTCTTGGCGAAGCTGCTCTCTGCGATTGGAACGCTGGTAGGCAGTGATGAGGCGGCGCAGACGGGCCGTCAGAGCTGAGGCGGCCGGCCAGTAGAGCCTCTCATTGGAGCAGGCGGCTCCGCCGGTGGAAGGCACACTTTGACCGTTTTCATCGGATTTACCTTCATGAGGGGAATACAAAAATCAGCACTCGGGATTAACCTCACTAAAGGTGTATGTGTGGGTGGGTCTGGGGGGGGTATACCATTACACCACCTAAATTTCATGACTACATGTTTGAAAGCTGAGACTCATGAAGTGACTCATGACCTGGGAGGGATAGCGCAAGATTCATATTCGTTCCGTTTGATCACCAGATTGTTTGCTCATTTGTACTTTCAAGTTTTAGTTGATTTACGTTGTTGCTTTGTATCCATAGCGATTACGTTTTTTTTTCTTCAGAAAAAAATTGCACTTTTGGAAAACATTTTTCCCTTTTTGGAAAAAAAAAATTGCTGATGTAACAATAATATAATACCCTCTGCTTCTCCTTCCCCAGTGTCATCGAGAGGAGAGTTGGTGAAGTCATCCATTTCATCCTTAAAAGGCATCCGAAGTGGCTTGTATTCTGGATCCTCATCCTCACTGTAGAGGCATGCAAGGAGTTAACCATTTCTTCGTATTATGTTCGAAATGTCTTTGTAAATTTGATGACAAGAGTCTCAATATCTAAAGTACCAGATAATTAGGAGGTTAATCTAAAATCTTGCCAATTAGTTTAGTCTAAAAAACATTGCATTCATGTCAACCCGAAAAGCATTTCCTTCCATGAGCTTTGAGTAAAGCAAAGATGACCGTCTCCTTACCCTTCAACGCCATCTGCCATCATATCGTTGCCCCTCTGCTCAGCAGCAATCGCCTTGGCGTCGGGCATACCCACCCGCTCCAAAAAACATAGGGTGGGGTCGGCTCTCATGGAGTTATACTTTTCATAGCCTGAAGAGGGAATGCCAGACCATCAAGTCTGAATTCTTCAAAGCAAAATGCATGCAGACTACGGATTCGATCACAACCACACAAACACGAGACCCTCCCCGCCGCCTCCTCAAATCACTTTGCTCTTTACAGAGACAAACTGTGTACTGGATGAATACCCAACCCGCACTTACTTGTATGCAATCAGCATCAATGTTAAATTAAAGAAAAGACAAAAACAGCAACAGTAGTGCTGACCTGAGGAGCCAGCTGCTGACAAGACAGACAGCCTGTGCGTGTGTGCGTGTGTGTGTGTGTGTGTGTGTGTGTGTGTGTGTGTGGGGTGGTCTCCATGTAAGCTTGTATCCATGTGAGCCTGAAGGTGCTCTGTTGTGTCAGAGAAAAAAAGGAGGAAGAGGAGGAGGAGGAGGAAGAAGATGTGTGTCATAGTGTCTGTAAAACTGAGCAGTGATGAGAAACAGTACAATGTGTGTGTTTGTCCGTTAGGGGCATTCAGCCAGAACTTATTAGATGTGCAGGATCCAACTGGGCTACATCAAGAAGAAGAAGAGAGAAAAAAAAAAAGGGGAAGCAAGTAAAATACAACGGCAAAAAAAGGGGAGAGAGTGACTGTAAATGTGAAAGAAAAAAGACCCCAAAAACAACAGTAGAGGTGTGGGGATGAACAGTATAGAGGACAAACAAAACATCAGGACTTTAGCCTTATCTATTATGTTTGTATTAGGAAAGATGTGACTCGTTGTTCCTAAACGTCTGTCACACACTCACTTGCCAAACGTTAATCATTGGGGCCTTCACAGGCCATCACTCTTCAGTGTGAGCCAGAGTGTGTGTGTGTGTGTGTGTGTGTGTGAGTCCCCCTCCCCAAGGGCCTCCCTAGTGAATGGGGATTATGATTAACTACGGGTGAGCCCTTTTGTATCACTCTATATGTGTTTGAGTGCACGTCAGTCCTAATTGAATCATAGAGGGTGGCAATCAGGGAAAAATTACGACGATTATACCAAATGAATATGAATGAGTGTTTCCGTGCACAACAAACGGCATAACAACAATAAACAACATCAGCAACGCGAGTCACGGGGAGGGAGTGGCCAAAAGTAGGTCACTGCTCAAACATTTCCATACGACCATTGAAAAGGAAAAGCAATCAGCTTCATCCACATTGATGTCTTGGAAACGTTGGCTTCTCTTACAGACGAGGAGAGGAAGAAGGTACACCTCACCGGCCATTAATCACATGCCACGGCCCACTTTGGCTGACGGCTGTGTGCCGCGGTCACCATAGAAAAACCAATCAAGCGGTGACTGGCCAAGCGGACGGCATGTGGATCGGTAGGTGGAGTTGTTGTTTGCTTTCTTTATTGTTTGTCTGTTTGTGTCTGGAATGCTCCATATGTACACAAATCAATGGCAGCGATTGTATGGACAAAATGTTTTTAGTAGGAATATACGTTTCTGACCGTGTTTGAAGACCCCAATGAGCAGGGATTTGTCCGCCTCGGTGTCCCACCAGTCTGTGGGGACCTCCGCATGGAATGGCTGTGGAATCCAGACATCCAACTCACTGTGGACGAGATAGAACCGCATCAGGTCGCTGATTCTCAAGCAAGATCAAAGTCTCGATTGACACGCGTGGTGTTTGGTCAACAAAAACAGCTCAACTTCACTTGATGCGAAGCCATTTAATTGATCTGACGGTAGCACCAAAATGTTTGACTATAAATCTTTCATCCTCACAGCATAAAGTTGCTAAAAATCGTAGACCGTCAAGTTTGGGATAGGGAGGGACTAAGTGGAGGGAAAAAAGGGGCATCAGATGAGCATGATGATGATAATGAGCGATTGGCTGTTGCCGGCATGGAAAAACCATCACCAATGACTGGATTTTCATCTTTACTCTTTAATCGCCATGGATATGCCGTTGCTGGTGCCTCAATTGATACCACGGGCAGTGAAAATTTGACAATATTTCCCAAGCGACTTGCTTCGCAGATGCCTTGTGCATTGTGGCGCCAAAATACAAAATCCTCGATTATGGAAAAGAGACTACGATACACAATATAGACAATGGAAGCCGAGAAACAGAGGGTGACAAGAGAAGGGGACAACACAGGGAAATTGTCCCTTATCTCAGAAAACAGCAGCATGCCGGGTCTTTGGCAAAACACACACGAGAGTGCGCCAATACGGACGTGCTAAATCCCTCTGGCATATGTTGGCACCGTGGCATCCCGTATGCCCGCTCTTGCTCTCTCTCACTTGAACACGCGCATGGCTCGAGCAAAGTAACCGGGGGGGGGGTCTTGGCGGCAGACACAAAGTACACGTGCTGCACATTGTAAAGACATTCACATCTGGAGGAAAGGGTGATAAGAACCAGGGCTGTGAGTGGATGAGACCAACGCGGGCTGCAGGAAGGACAAATGGGCAGATTGTTAAAAAATATATATATGATGACGAAATAGAAGGAGGATGCAGTGTGGGAGACAGGATGAGGATCAGAGGGCAAAAGCAAAAATTTGAGGGCAGATGTCAATCTACCGGTGGCTCATCAAAACCGAAATGGGTCAAAAAAAAAAGAACCCACCATCCACTTCTCCAAGATAATTTTACAGAGAGTTTGTGTCAGAAACAGAGGCTGCCAAAGAGGCCACTTGAAGAGACAAAAATACACTCGAGTAATAATTCATGCTACGGTCATAAATAACCCTTTCGCAGCTCACTGTCAAGATGCCTCCACAGCGAGCCGTCTGATATGCGGAGACCGTAATCTGCCAGTGTTGGGGCCAACCATATAAAATTTCTCATCAGATATGTGACCGAAGTAATCCATAACAAAGTGGAATTTATTTGCAACGACCCAAGTTTATTATTACTATGACATACGCTACTCTGACTGCCTTTGCGTGCATTGTTCAATCAATTGAGAACCTGACGTTTCCATGGAATGATTGCCCACTTATAACAACTACATAAAATTGAATTAGGACGGCTTGCTGCTCAATAAATGTAATGATACCAAGTGACGCTATCGGGGATTAGAACCAAAACAGCTGGAGAAGACCGGGAAAGAGATCAAATGTTGCCTCAAGAGGGCAAATGTGACTCAATTAATGGCAACTTCATTTAAATGAATTGAAGACTGATTTCAAGCAATTTAAAGTATACCAACCTGGCGTCGGCTCCATCCAGAATGCGCTCTGCCTGATCGCCGATGACTTCCTGTCTCAGATAATACAGCATTCTCACCCTCAGCAACACCCTAACAAAGACACGGGAGGGGGGGGGGTGTTATCGCAAAATGGTCATTAAGATTGCCTCCCCCAAAAAAACCTTGTGGACAGTCCTGTTTACTCATGAGGCTTTGCTGAATGATGATGGATGGATGGATGGATGGTATTCATTTGCTCCACATTAATGTACAATTTGATCAGAGCAAGATTAGTTTTATACAGTGGGTGTAGCCGTTCACCCGTCGTAATGTATTATTTGACAGAACGGGCCAAATATCGCCATTGTATAATTGAGTGGTTCATAGCTACCTTGTGACACTGCTAAAAGCAGAGCTATAGTGGCAGGGAGCAGAGGGAAAAATGAACATAGAGGACAGGAGGGAACACAAAGTTGCAGCACTGTGGGGGAAGGGCATAAAGGAAGTAACTTGATACTAATTCTGCAGAGCGAGTGTGCGCACCAATGGCATCACAAGTAGCAGCACACACACGTGTGTGTGTGTGTGTGTGTGTGTGTGTGTGTGTGTGTTTGCTGGCAGCCTTTCTATGCTCATCCATCAATGTGCCAGGCCTGATTAGCCACACAACACTTTGCTCCAGCCTAGCAGATGGCACCACATAATCACCCCCAAGTACGCGCGTGTGTGTATGCGCGCGCACATGTATGCATATATCTGTGGGTGTATGTGAGTACACCTTTCACCGACTTCCAACAGGTTTGCCTGCCTTGCTTGGCACATGGCCACGTGGGTATACGTAGGTGCGCATGTGTGTACTTTCGCAGAGACCTTCGTACGGAACACACATGCACACGTCCAAACAAGTTCCACTATATAGTGAGCCAGAGAAGGTATGGAAAAGACAACTCTTTTACAACAGAGGCACAGATGAAGTGCGTCTGTCAAAAGAAGCCCAGCCGTTTGACAAAAGGTCACAAAGAGTTTCACATGGGCAGAATGCCTTTCCATTGCAGGAATTTAAAAAGCGGTGTTGCAGCCCGCCCCTCCGCTATCAGATGTGACACATGTTTCTGAAAACTGGAAAAACAGGCAGGTGGATACTGGAGACACAAAGCTCGGCTAATACCCCGTCCCGTTTTAAAGCGTCACCGATACAGCAGCTAATGACAGAATCTACATTTTAACACGGCCATGCAATCACCACCACCAACTCTTGTGGGACAGCGTGTTCACAGTGAGCGTCACATACTTGTTACAGTGATGCTTCAAGTGTCGCTTGTAGCTATCCTCTTGCAGTAGATGGTCAGGATTACAGCTGGCCAGCCAATCCGCTCTTGGCGTCTGTGGGGCCGGGGCAGTGAGTTTCCCTTTTTTGCCCTTTCTGCCTCGAGGCACTGGTGTTGACAGACCTGAAGAAAAGGGGGAAGCGGAAAGGGGCTAAGGGTTGCGGCAAGATGCTGCGCCGCGGCTCTTTGGCTGCAGGCGAAGCGCTGTAGGAGGCAGCTCACTTGCTGGATGTCTCCGTGAGAGTGTGTGCGCGTGTGTGTGATGCACACACAAGGAGGACAGTTTTTAGGGGGGGACAATGTGGAGGAAGTCAGATGAATAATGCATCCAGTTTGAGCTGGAACCTGTAGCTGCTGATTGGGCTGCTTGACCGGCATCGGCGTTGTCCTGCCCGCCAGATTTTTTTGTCGAACTGATGGACTCCTATAACTCTAAAATGTCTCACTACCATTTCATCAAATGCTGTAAGTAACCCGTTCTTATTGGTGCACATGTAGGTTGAAACGACAGTCATTTTGCATGCTCTGAAATCCAAGTATCTGCAAACCATCCAAACTTCAAATAATGTGTCTTTCCTGTGTGTGTGTGTGTGTGTGTGTCTGTGTGTGTGTGTGTGCAGTTACCGGAGTGGTTGCTCAATGTCTTGGTCGTTCCATCTTCACTTGGGGTGATCAGATCCCATATAAAGCTTTTGATGTTCTCATCGCCACGGTAATGCAACAGACAGTATGCGAGAAGCGCTCGGCAGATTGTCTCCACATCAGCCTCCTTCAGGGGGCGCTTGAAGCGGCCGTGAGCCAGGATGTCACTCCATCTGCCCCAACTTTATAAGAGACAAAAGTGATTCACCTTTCATCATTTGTTAATACATGCACAGATTGAACTATATAAAACCGTACCATATTCGCCATCGACTTCATTTTAAGCAAATGGATACTGTCTACCATTACATTTTATGTTCATGCCAAAATAATCCTTGCAACATTCAAGTTGTTCAAAAAGCTCTCTTGATGAATAATGTGAACTCAATCTCTCATGAATGCCCCTATCATGGTGTCTAACAGCTCAGAGACACGCTCGCACTCCACTTTCACTTGCAAATCCACCAAGGACAATCAGACTCACTTTTGAGTGTGTGATTCAGACCGCCTCCAAACAGCAGCTAAACCTAAAGAATATGTAGGGCAGTCTTTCACACTGTCCAGTTCTAAGAGGGGGGGAAAAAAACTCCACTGTTGCATTTCAGTGTTTACTGAACCATGTGAGCTGACCTTACTCTAATTCAAGACTGGTTAGGATTGTGGACAAGTGAGCGGGACTGACATGAATGACAGGAAAAGGCGACAAGCATGCACGAGCAGGACAGACCCAAGAAAGACACTGTGTTTTTGTGTCCTACAGCCTCAGGCGGCAAGGCTAGACTGGAACAATAACAATGTCGGCATCTCACTAGTGCCACTGTTCGCTCTTGCACGCATAGTCACGCCAAGTCAGCCATGAAAATGGACATTCTCCCTGTATAATGGCCATCTATCTGCAAGCGCGACAGTTTGCCCATGTGCGTCCTACACCATTGTGTTACCGCAGAACGTCAAGGCTGTTACGGGATATCATGCAAAAAACAAACAAACAAAAAAAAAAAAACTGACATCCCACTCCCGTTCAGAACGACTCCCACTCCTCACACAAAATATGTAAACCTCTTGCTGACGCACATGATTTGCAGGCCACATGAAATGATGTGGCGGGGCGGATCTGGCCCCCAGGCGTTGAGTTTGACACCTGTGCTATGGATGATTTACTCCACACTCCAATCTAATTGTCCATTTTCAATTGTCATGCAGTAAACCTGGACATTTGCTGTGAGTGTTGAACAAACCCGTAGACAAGCAGGTTCTTCTCCACTCTGAAGCACTCCGATCGAGGGTAGCCCTGGACTTTGTCTTGCGGTCGTCGTGGTTTGGATAAGGGTCTGCTGGGTTCATCATCTTCACTCTCCAGCTCTGAGAACTCCATCATCTCGTCCTCTTTCACGCTGCTATAGTGACGCGTTTGCTTTCTTACTCTTGGCGTGTCAATCACCAGCGTGTTCTGGGTCAACAAAAACAAAAAGGAAATAATAATTGTGCAATTTGAGGGAATACATCCTTCCTTTGTTGTTTTCGCCGATACAGCGTATGGCTTCTGTGCACTTGACCGCATAGACCAGATTGCTTTTCTGGGTATGGCATGCCTGGTCTTTGGGGTGTGTAACAGCCTTTGTCTCAGGGGCGTTACCAGGTTTGAAGGATACCGGAATGTTCAATTGCCATCGATTCAATGGCCTGAGAATTTAGTGTCAAAATCAACTCAGAACCAATCTGGGAGCCCAGACGGCCCGAAGTCCACCCGATAAGAAGCTTCTTTGGCTTCTAATGTTAATTTGTCACAATTTCTGACTTCTAAGGGACACCCTATTAAACATGACCTGTTGTGTACCAAATTAGGATAATTGGATATTGTCCCCCTGTGTTCAATGCTGATGGGGAGAAAACCGCCTGTCAGCTCACATAAACTGCCAACAATTATGTTGTCTAATGAATTACACTTTGTTGAATTAATTTAAATGCCTGCTGCTTACAATCACAAATACGCGCAAGCTGGGCGGTAGTTACCACAACCATTATCGCAGAGGGCTACAGACATTTCCATTTGAACATCACACAATGCAAAATCCCAGGGGAGCAGCCTAAACGGAGCATATTCACGCTCTCCGAGCTGGATTAAATATTCCGACGGAGGCTTCTCAAAATGAGGCAACAGGGACCGCATGAAACATATACCAGGAGCCACAAGTCAGGGAACACAATTTCATGGTGTGAAGATGGCATGATAGCCAGAATATTTGGCAGCCAATTATTGTGTTTGAGTGTGTGTTTACGAAAGTGATGGCTGAGCATAGCTGGATTAAATATTCCGACGGAGGCTTCTCAAAAAGAGGCAACAGGGACCGCATGAAACATATACAAGGAGCCACAAGTCAGGGAACACAATTTCATGGCGCAAAGACGGGCATGATAACAAGAATATTTGGCAGCCAGTTATTGTGTTTGAGTGTGTCTGTTTATGAAAGTGATGGCTGAGCATATAATGGCCATCTATCTGCAAGCGCGACAGTTTGCCCATGTGCGTCCTACACCATTGTGTTACCGCAGAACGTCAAGGCTGTTACGGGATATCATGCAAAAAACAAACAAACAAAAAAAAAAAAACTGACATCCCACTCCCGTTCAGAACGACTCCCACTCCTCACACAAAATATGTAAACCTCTTGCTGACGCACATGATTTGCAGGCCACATGAAATGATGTGGCGGGGCGGATCTGGCCCCCAGGCGTTGAGTTTGACACCTGTGCTATGGATGATTTACTCCACACTCCAATCTAATTGTCCATTTTCAATTGTCATGCAGTAAACCTGGACATTTGCTGTGAGTGTTGAACAAACCCGTAGACAAGCAGGTTCTTCTCCACTCTGAAGCACTCCGATCGAGGGTAGCCCTGGACTTTGTCTTGCGGTCGTCGTGGTTTGGA